TTTTTTTTTTTTTTGTTGTTTTTAATGGGCCAAGTTGATGACTCTGTGATTTCAGTGTGTGATAAAAACCTGGCTGTGGAGACCATCCGTCTACAGTATGTAGCCTGGGAAGAAAGCTTTTCCTGAACAAGATGTCTCATTGTCTTTTTGCCCCCCCCCCTTTTTTTTTTTACGGATGTATGTATTGTGGGTAGTTTGGGACACTCTTAATTTTGCTGATGTAATGCACTTGGATCCCATTCCTCATTCCATGCTCCATGAATAGACCCATTGATAACAGTAAGACCACACAAGTAAACCAGGCTAGCAGAACTGTGTTCCTGTGTTCCCGTGTTTTATGTGGAGATTAAATTTAGGTGATGAAATACTCATTGTTTGTGTGTAGCTGGCTCTTGTGGCATAAGCTCACATGGCCCAAGCAGAACCCTGTATTTATAGCTGTAAGTGAAATGTTCTAAATGATGTTATTTTTGTAATCTGAAGTGTTTTGGTTTGGTTTGGTTTGTTTTTTTTCCACACGAAGAAAACTGTGAAAAAGCCAAGAGCACCTCTACTGCAGGAGCTGATGGAGTTAAAATTGGGTGCTGTTGTTAGGCGTGGATGGTTAAATCTTGGCTGTGAAGGCTGAGATTTAACTAAAGCAAACAAGGCCCTATTTGCTTTCTGCTTTGTCTTTGTTTCGTATTTAGCCACATTAATCTAGGTAATCATACCAAAAGCTGTATTAATTCCCTTCTGCCTCTGGTACTCACAGATGGAGTAGAAATGGACTCTCTTTCCACGTTAGTGGGATCAAGGTCCTTCCTAAAGCATTGATTTATTTATGGGGGCAGAAATGTATAAAGTACAGGAGGGATGCTTCTCTCCTGCCTCCTCCTCTTTGTTCTGTGACATACAGCTATAAGATACAGAGACTACCAGCTCCATGTCTCCAGCTATCCGTACAGGTTTTTTCATGGATGTGGAGTTTGACTCCATTCTGTTGATGGGAAGAACTGGTTTAGGGAGGCGAAGACTCCATCCAACCTTTCTCTGGCAAAGCTCATTGTGCCTTGGGGCATTTCACCTCTGTGGGAGGCTGAAGCACTTTTTTCTGCTCTTGTTGGGATAAATACCTGTGCAGGTATCTTTACTCATAGGGAACTCCACAAGCAGACACTTGAGAGGGTGTTGAGAGTGAGAGAAGGGGATTTTGTGTTACCAAGTTAGTTTTTCTATCATTGTTCTCTGCGTGCTGGATTCATCATTGCACAGGCTGCAGTTGGCTCTGCAGCCAGAACATCCAGAAAGTTTAGTGTATTCATGTTCTTGATGAGATTTATTGAGAAAATAAGGCATGCAGTAGGAGAAGTTGTGAGAAATGTAATATGTGTGTATATATATATATATATATAAATATATATATATATATATAAATACTGCCTATAATGTTGTTCATGCTTAAACATTTATGGAAAAAATACATGTAGAGAGCATTATCTTTTTTAATGTGTGAAACTTGATCAAAGCAAAGTGAACAAGTAGCCCACAGCAGTTTTTGGAGGTACATAAAGTGTCCTTGAAAAGAGAGAACCAGTGTGTCAGTATAAAACCTATGTTGGTTTAAAGATCAGAATACATGGAATAAACTGTGTCAGCAACAACAGATTGACCAAAGAGTTAAATTATATTTAAATTTGCAGTCTTGTCTAGTAATTTAGTGCTACATTAATGAATTTTGTAGTGAGACTGTTTGGAATAGAATCCTTTTTTCATCAGATGTTGTGCATATGCTGTCTGTGTTTGTCTAAAATAAAATGTAATGAAACAGCTAATAAACCCCCAATTTATTTGTTTCCTTTGAGAAGTAAATTCTTAATGTACAACTACTGTTCTTTGTATTGTGTATATGCTTTTTCTCTTTCAGAGTGTACCTTTTTGAAGGGCTTTGTTACTAAACATTTTCTCTCCTTTTGCTTCTAATTAACAAAAATAATATGCTTATATTTGTGTGCGGGTAGTCAGGCCAGCAAGGGCGGGGAAAGCTCCCAAACCCTTCTCCTACCACTCTGCTGTTGCACAAGGGCCCCTTAGAACTCTAGACCATGGTGCCTGGGAAGCAGAATGATAAAAAGGGAACTAGGAAAAGGCACAACTTTGTCTGTTTTTTCTTACATTTGACCTTCAGAGGTGTTCAAGAGAAAGGAACAAATTGTGACTGCACATGTAAGTTCTGAGGTGGTTTTGTTTTGATTTGTATTTTCAGGGCTCTGTAAAGTTAGAGGATGAAACAGAACAAACCCAAACCAATCTAGCAAGAGTCGGGCAGTTAATACTGGCGTGAATGCATTGGTTGAAATAGGTCAAAATCATTAATAGCTGCTCATCTCTTAATGACCCCAGTGCATCATCTTCCAGTTCTTTGGCAGTCATTCCCCAGGAAGCAGTTGTCTTTTTCCATTAATACTTATATTAAACGTTATATTAAACTTTATTTTTGCTGTCCAGGTTGTTGACTTCCTCTAACACCAAGGACTGGTATAAACTACCTGTCCTAGTTAGAACAGCTGAGACCAGCTCATCACCGTGTAACCCACGGTTACACCCTTGGGTGTAACCCAAACTGTGTATTCTATACCCTTCCATGCCATTGCCCAGAAACTGTTAACAATAAACCATTTACAGCAGCTGCCCAGAGCACGCCTGAGCCCTCAGGTTATAAGCTGGGTGTTAGAGGCCTGTGAGATAGGAGGATGCTCCTGTCCTCACACCCATTGTGGAACTCCCCGCCCTGAGGGAGGTACTGGGCATTCCTGCCTGAACCTGAGGATACATAATCTTGGGGTCTGGGACTTCTGTACCACTTGTGGGATCCAGAGAAGGACTGGAACTTGGACTAGACTGCGACCACCATTCTCAACCAGACTGAGACCACTACTCTTGACCAGACTGTGACCACCTCTCTCAACCAGACTGCAATCACCACTCTCGACCAGACTGCAACAGCACTCCCAACCGGACTGCAATCACCAGCCTCGACTGGAGTGCAACCAGCAGTCTCACTGACAGGTTTTCCCTCTCCTTTTACTTTTTGGACTCAGGGGGACCACGTGGGGCTCAGCACGGGCAGGGGAGGCCCAATGAACACCACTCTGTTCATGCCCCAGGATGGGGTGCCGGGTCATACATCTGGGTTTTGTGGGTTAAAACCAATTGTTTGTCTGTGTAGTTGTATTTATTGTATTATTTTTATTAAATTGTTATTCTGACTTATAATCTCTTTTGAGTTAGGTTCATTTCCCCTGCTGGTTTACCTTTAAACCAGCACATTTTTGGTGCCCAATGTGAGGCAGAGAGAGAAGTCAGAATCACAATTTCATTTTAAGCATTTGTCTATTTGGATACAGAAACTCCCTGATCACGATGTTGTTTGATGTATTCACATGGATGTTGTATCTGAGCCTGTTCATATTCCCACATGGGGAACTATTATCCTATTCTGATGCTCTCTGTAAGACCAGGGAGAATGATCAAAACTGCTTTATTGATATACTGTGTTTATGTTGTCATTACATCAGAAGCAATGAGTTTCATTGTAAATGTGTATTCAGTCCTGTTTGCCTGTCCTGGTTTGGGTTGCTACTTCTGGGGCCTCATTAAAAATCGCACCCAGTCTTTTAGGGGAACAGGAGGGAATGGTTGTTTCCAGCCTTTCACCTCCTTCTTCCCCTTCAGATCTGCTACAACAGTCTTTGAAAATATTGAGTTTCCTTTTGATGTTAATGACAGTGTAACGTTGTTAGTGTTGCTTTGTCTGCTCTGTACTGTCTACACCATGTTTAGGGTCAGAACAGGGCCTTCTAGGGAGGTTGTCTGGACGCCTGCCCTGGGAATGTATAATGTTGAGTGGCACAGGAAGTTGGAGGACATCAGCCAGTATTTGGAGAAGTTTTCTCCTCCAATGATCTGGAATTTCACCCCTGAACAACTGCAGGATCCTGTTAGCATGATAAGACTGGTGAAGG